TGGTTCAAGCCGTACGACCGCCTCCACAAATCGAGTTGCGTGCTGGAAGACGAGAATGCGCGGCGATCTGATCAGAGCGTGTTCCATTGGACAGCGTTAGCAAATCGCAGCTGACGCTCGACTTGCCCGACCAGAGAAGCTAGACAGAAGAAGAAGAAAACCTCTCCAACGGCTCACAGCAACGCAGCCACACTTCTGTTTTTCAAGTTGACACCAAACACCTGACCATCCCAAACGGGCCAGGCGACGATCCAGTCGCGCGACGGACTCGCCAAGCGCCCGCCCGGTCCCGGGCACCACGACGACATTCAACCTTTATTTAACTTCCATTAACTTAATCAATTAATCAATCAACCATCCCGTCTTCTATCTATCTATCTATCTATCTATCTATCTATCTATCTATCTATCTATCTATCTATCTATCTATCTATCTATCTATCTATCTATCTATCAACCACTCGTTGCGCTACGCACCGATCATGGCATCCACACAGCCACGTTGCATTTTCGTACGAGTGAGCACTAACGTCACGAGCTCGAGCACTGTGCATGGCAAGCCTCCTCATATTGCGAAACACCACAGCACCGTCGTCGAGACGATCCACCAATCGAGACCATCCTGGAGTCCAACACCTGTCAGGATGCCTGTACCTGCCACGGGCGGCGCTACTGCGGACAATCCTGCTTGTTGGCATAGATGAGCAGAATGGCGTCTTGCAGCTCGTTTGATGCCAAGAGCGTGTTTAGCTCACAGCGTGCTTCGTCGATACGCGACGTATCGCTGGCGTCAAGATAAGCACGAGCGCGCTGGCTTTGTGCACCGTCGACGAGTAGAACTGGCGAAGGGACATTATAGGGCCTGCGACATCCCACGATATGCAGGAGAGACCCGGAATATCGAGACTCTCGACGTTGAAGCCAATACGGATCCGCGTTGTGACGACGTCGCCGAGTTCGAGTTTGTAGAGGCTTGTGTTCTTGCCCACCGAGTCGAGGCTTAGAAGGAGGAGCTGCATCTTGTGGCCAAGTAACCAGCGAAGTCGCACGTAGAACGAGAGTCGACAGCCCATGGCGATCGGTTTGGAAGGTGCGCTTGGAGGTCAAGGGCGTTGTGTTGGTGAACCATCCAGGCTACTATTTCGTCGTCGTGCCACGTCATGCGATGTGAGCCAATCAAAGCCAGCGCGTCAAAGTACTTAGCGTCTTCTCTCCAGCGATAGCATTTGGAACAAGTCAAAATATGAATTGAAGTGGTCGAAAGCACGAGTCTCTGTTGTCATGGTGGTTGGCGGCGACATGTGAAAAGGAGTGCACCTCGTGTATTCCATTACGGTTGAGCAAGTGCTGTCGCGAGCCAATGAAGACCATCGCAAAGGCCGTCACCACTTGTCGCGCAGCACGCTTGGACAAACCACCGCTGACGAATGAAGCGCAGTTGGAGCGCCTCGGTCACGTCGGCTATACTCATGGCCTGCGCAAGGTCTTGTTTGTTGGCGTAGACAAGAAGGACCGCGTCTCGGAGCGTATCGGACGCTAAAATGATGGCAAGATGGTCGCACGCCGAGTCCATGCGCGCACGGTCACTGGTGTCGACGACAAACAGGATCGCGTCGGCGCCTTCGTAGTAGTGACGCACGATCGACGAGAGGCGGTAGTTGCCACCGACGTCCCACAACGTACACTCGAGGCCTTGGAATTCGAACCGCTCGACGTTGAAGCCAATTGTTGAAATTGTCGTGATTGGCGCCGTAGTGCTGCTGTCCTGAGTCGGGTGAAGCGTGCGCTGGAGCTGGTAGAGGAGTGTGGTTTTACCGGCGGCGTCGAGGCCCAGCATGACCAACCGCGTCTTTTTATTTGGCGCGAAAAGTCGCCACACGTGCGAGTAGACGAGACCCATCGAAAACGCAAGTGCGCTCTCTCCAATCTGTAGATTGCGCCACGTCGTGCCACGTCATGTTGAGGTAGCCAATCATACGCGAGCACGCGTTCGACCCGTCTGATCGTTTCACAAGCACGTCCCTGTTGTCCAGCGTACTACCAAAGCGTCGCGCCTGACCGCTTTGGTAGTACGCTGGACAACAGTGACGTCCTTGCGAAGACGATTTCCGAGACCTGTCGAGCCACCGAGGCGTTGTAGTGAGGAAGGCCCTCCGACGTTGCTCGATGCGATGTTGTAACATACAGAACAAGCGCCGACGACCGGTGTTGTAGCGATGCAGGAGTCTCTTCTTGCCAACGCTGTCTCGATAGATATGCAACGTCCTCCATCGTACAACCCGTGACGTATTTATAATACGAATCAGATTCCTATGCTACATTATCGCATGAGGTCCGCGACGCCATCAATCACCATCAGGGCGACCGCAACACGGCAGCCAAACGATAGCAGCGCACGAGCAATGTGATCATCACACCAAGGATCTCTATAATCAGCAGGCATATACCCTCATGTAGCGAAGCAGTGTAGCAAAGATAAACGTCAGAAAAGGTCATCGAATTGTGGCGGGGTAGTCGCCTTCATTGGTCGCCACGCCGCTGGAAATGGAGCGGGTCGCAAGCCCCTTGTCCTCGACCTTGACCTCAAGCTAATGGCAACGACATGTCTGTTTAAGCTCTCTCGACGGCCTCCAGGCGCCGCATTGTGCAAGCTTATAGTATGCGATTTCGACACAGAAGCAGAGAAGTAGCAACCGATGGATGCATCTTATTTGCGCTCCTGTCTAAAACGCGAGCGGGCGCACCGTCATGAAGTGGCGCACCTGCTCGTCGGTGATGGCCGCGCGCTTGGCCTGGAAATCGGCGTTCGACGCGACGATGATCTCGATGAGCTTGTCCTTGACCTGGCCCGACATCATGCGGCCCTCGCCGTACTCCTTTGCGATCACCGCGAGCTCGGCGTCGTTCTCGAGAAGGAACGTCAAGTACTGGTACGGAATGTCCACGTCCAAGTTTGCGCCGTACTTTTCATGGTCGGCCTTGGTCTCGCCGCCGCCGCTAAACGCGTACCGGCGGATCTTGTCGGCCACATCGGCGGCCGAGTCGGACACAAAGATCGTCGGCGACGGGCCGCTCGAGCTCATCTTGGTGGTCGCACCTTCGAGCGCCGGGAAGAACTTGGAGAGGATCAGCGCCGGCTTGGCGTACCCGATGCGAGGCGCCACGTCGCGCGTCATGCGGAAGTACGGGTCCTGGTCGATCGCGCACGGGATCAAGCAGCGCAGGTCCGTGCGGCCGCCAAACGGCACCGGAAAGCACTGCGGGAACGACGGCGCGGCCTGGATCGCAGGAAACGACGACTTGCCAATGTTGTCCGAGCCCGTAAAGCCAAAGATACCACGCACTTGGTTGTACGTGACGCACTTTTGGATCTTGAGCACTTCAGGGTACAGCGTGCCAATGTAGTCCGAGTTCTTGAAGATGAACGTCTTGGTCGGGTCAAAGCCGCACGCGATAATGTCCTTGGCGTTCTCGTTCGCCATAAAGTCCGACTCGGCCAACGTCTGTTCCTTGAAGAGGTACTTTTCGTCGTCGGTGAGCTGGATCACGAGCGGCACGTCAAACACCTTTTGGAGCCACGCCGTGAACGTGAACGGGATCAAGTGGCCCATGTGCAAGGACCCGGACGACGGCCCGCGACCCGTGTAGAGGTAAAACTTGTTGCCCTTCTCGTAATGATCCAGGATTTCGTGGAGTTCGCGGTGCGAGAAAAAGTAGCCGCGGCGCAGATACCGGTGCGCACGCACGCCCGTGAGCTTCTCAATGCGCGCGACAAGGTCCTGCGTCAGCTGCGACGTGCCGAACGTGTCGATGAGCTTGTCGTAGTCGACGCCGCCCTCGGCCTCGACGTCCCACGGCGTCACCTTTTGCGCGTTCGCGTCGCCGTTGATCGCCGTGTAGTGCGCATACTTGGCCTGGCGCAACAGCAAGTCCGTGTCGACCGGCGCGGCGCTCGCCTCGGTCGGGCGGCCCGTCACCGACGGCTTGGCCGGCTTGGCAGCCTTGGCGGCCTTGGGCTTGGTGTCCTTGGGCTGCGCCGCCTTCTCCGCAAGCTTCTTCTCCTTCTTGAGCTGGCTCTTGGACTTGCCACCCTCGGCGGCATTCTCGGCCTGGGGTGCTTCGGCCTTGGGCGCCTTCGGAGCGGCCGGCGGCTGGTAGTCGTTGCCGGTCAAGTCCTTGTACTGCTTCTTGAGCGTAACGAGGTCGGCCACCTGGCCCTTGAAGTCTTCCTTCTTCGCCTTGAGGTCACGCACCTCGTTGCCCTTGGCGACGATCGCAGCTACAATCGAGTCGACGTCCATGCTGCTTCCTGGCCACAATCTGAAATGACCAGCCAGATGACGCCAGCCGGCGACCATATTTTATTACATCGCTTTGCGATTTGCTACAAATACGTAGATTAATCGTATTTTTATCGCATTAAAATACGCTGCCCAAGTGCATTTTGAGTGGTCGATGCGTCATTGCCACAAGAAATGCGAATGCGCAAGGCCGCCGCCGAGGGCACCAGCCACGCTGCAGCTCATCGCCCGCGTCCAATTGTACTGGCAGCTAGCCGATGCAATGTCCAGCGATGTAGTACTATCGAAATGCTAGACGGTCCAGGCTGGCGATGAGGCGAAAGCTGCAACAAATCGGCCATTTAGCCCACCGTGGCGTTCGTTCCAAGGCCTCACCCAGCCTAATGGTGACCCTATGACCACCACCACTGCATTGACGGTGCTCATTTGGCCTGTGCAAAGGGCTAAACGCATGTGGATGGCTCATCGAGCACTTGCGATGGCGCCGAAAGGTCCGTGCTCGTAAGCGCTCCCAGACGATCACGGCACGCATGGCCTGTGCCATCAACAGGCCCATAGACAGATATATGCAGCCATGTACTTGCGCAAGGACAGCCTTCCGGCTGCAGCATGACGCCTGTAGCAGCCGAGGCAGCGCGGCAAGGTCGACAGTTTCATTTTGGAGGTTACAGGCCTAGGCTCCGGATAACATACAAACAGCAAGTCAAAAATCAAGGAAGGAATGGGAGGCCAGCCGCAGTATCCGGTTGAATCCGTTGCGAGCAGCGGAGCACAAAAGCTTGCAGCCGCCGAAGGACGGAAGCGATCACGAGACGCGCCAGCGCCGACCCTAGCACCGCCCGAGCATCCCACGGACGCGCGCTTGACCTCGTCGACCTCACCGACTGCTCCTCATCCGAACCGCGCCGATAGCTATGGTAGCCACGCTGCAGTGCAAGGCCCACACGCCCGACCCGACCTTGGGTCGACGGGACAACAACAACAACAACAACAACGCCAAAGAAGGTAGCCGCCGGCGTGGCGTCGACGGCAGTGCGCGTGACGTAGCACAGAAGCTCTCGAGCCCGATGGCGCCGAGTCCGCGCTTGGTGTACCGGTACGAGCCAGAGGCGGTCACTGCATCAGGTCGGTGCGTAGGCGCAAGCTCGGCAACGAAACATGTACCAAGACAAAGCACGAGCGTGGAGGCTCCCAGCAATTATGTCACGCCTCATTGAGCCCATTGACAGGGCCAAAAAGCTCACCGCCCATCGTCGTCGCAGCGCCCATGCAACGTCCACGCCCGTACGGCTCACGGCAGCCGCACAGCATACTGATGGAGTCATATGTAGCTCGCCCGTCGATACATCAGCCCCCGTGACGACCCATCGCGACAAGAAGGGACCGCCGAAAAGCTCGCGCAAGTCGGGCGCCAAGCCGCCGTCATATGAGCTCTCGACTCCGTCCAAGACGGATTTTCGCCACGCCGTCCAGCCCAGTAGTGCGTCAGGACCCGAGAAAGTACGGTCACCGTGCGCGTCGCGGAAGAAGAAGTCGACGAGCCATACGCGAAGCGACAACAATACACCGACAACGCCTCCGCTGGCATCTCGCGATCGCACAAGCAGCTCGACTGCGTCAGTGGAGCCAGATCCTCCGTACTCTGCACACTCAACCATCATGTGCAACCAAGATGTAGCGCTCCACCGATCTCATAGCATCGCGTAGGTGGGCCTCGGACGAGATTGAAGCGTTTGTCGCTGCTGTCGACAACGAGATGGCGGCGATGGGCCAAGCCTACTGCAAAGCGCTGCAGTACTTGAACCGGTCCGTGGTCGCGCTCTGGGCTTATGCGTTCATTGATGTGTACGGGTCCCTTTGCACGCAGCTCGCGCTTCCTGGGAGTGACCTCGACTGCGTCATCGTCGTGCCAGAAGCCCATCACGGCCTGTCGCCGATTTCGATGCTCCGCGAGGTCCACGCGGCGGTGCGCGACCAGGCAAACGTTGTGGACGTCGAGCTTCTCGAAGCCGCGAGCATTCCCGTGCTCAAGCTCGTCTTCCAGCTCGGCGACGCCTCGGTGCCCATAGACCTTAGCGTCGCTCATTCGGCGGGCCACTCGGGGCTGGCGTCGCGGGACCTCGTGAAAAAGTTCGCCGAGTACATGCCCGCGCTGCGGCCACTGGCGCTGGTGCTCAAGGCGCACCTCAAAGCCAACGGTACACCCCCTGTCTTCTTCATGGCGCTTGGATCATCTTCATTCGGACCGACATAGGCCTCTGCTGTGCGTTCTCAGGCGGTCTCTCGTCGTATGCGCTCGTCGTACTCATCATTCGGTTCCTCCAAGTATGCACAAAAGTAACGTGAGGATGGTGATGCGCATGCTCGGTGTCTAGTGTTTTGGCGACGTACACGTGTCCCACACGGAGCCACCGACGCCCGAGCTACCGCGACAGCCCAACACGCTCTACACCTTCTTCCGCCATGGTGCATCTTTCGTATCGTCGGGATGGTCTATGACGAATGCGTAGATGCGGTCGTCTGGCAAGGCACGATTGGCATGCTACTGCTCACGTTTCTCGAGCAGCACATAAGCTTTGAGTTTGCCGCGTATGGCGTGAGCATCGCCAACGGCGGCGAGTACTTTGCCCTCAATGACGTGGCCGGCGACACGAGCTTTGCGGTCCACGCGCACATTGTGGATCCGCTCGCGACGCATCGCGTGCTCGGCAACTCGTTCCGTATCCACGAGGTGCGACGAACTGGGTCTCGTCGGCGAGTTGACTCGACTCTGAACTAGATTGTGCGCGCGTGGAGCCAAATGCACCGCCAGATTCTGGTGCGCGCACCGCTTGTGGAATTGCTGTCGCCGGCGCCATAGCTTTTTTTCATTTTTCCGTATTTCCACAACACACAGTGCAAGTAGACGACGACAGTAGCAACCCCGATCGAAACACCTACCCAAACGTATATTATCGAAATGTCAACAACCACGATCAACTTTACCCTACCCCCATGGTCGGGATTAAACTCGAATAATCCAGTGTTTCGCGCTCTTCGTATACTGTATTTGCTCAGGAAGAGGGACACGCGATTGTCATATGTACCACAATCGGCCTACTGTACTATCAGGCTACTGTGCACGGTTTTCCAGTTTTGTTGGGACAACTTTACGTGTATTAAATTTGACAGTTCATTGTGACCGGCAATCATCTGGTCGTATGCATTGTAAGAGGTAGATCCCATTTTGGTGCCAAGATGACCGACGGCCAGCACCCGACGACGAAGCAAGTGACCAAGGTGAGCGTCCTCATCGAGGCCATCGTGAGCAAGCGTGGGCGCTAGGACATCAATGGCATTGCCACGACGCTGATCGTGTCCGAGTTCAGCGACCGTCTCTTCATCGCAGCGACGCAGCTTGGCACGTTTGGCACCATTGTACATCGTCGAGGTCGATGCCATCGCCGGCGCTCACGCTCGCATCGTAGCTCGAAGCCACGAGCACCGAGTCGTTCAACGGCAATGCGAGCGCCAACATTGCCATTCGCCTCGGGAAGCGCGACGACCCGCTTCTGCTCGTGTATGCCCGCCAGTTCCTCGAGCATTTTGGGTACGACCGCATCGTCGTCTTCCTCGCTCATGCATCTCTGTAGCATGCCCCGTGGCAAGGCCATTGTCGCCGCCGTCGGCCTCAAGGACCGAAGTGCGCCGACGTTCGAGGCGATCATGACGACGATCAAAGCCGAGCTCTTGCACTAACACCACACCAACCAAGACTTTCGTATTGCAGCGTATCTCTGTCGACTACCACTGGTGCAAGCGATCGAGGATGAAGGGTGTAAAGTACGTGATGAGGATGCTGGCGCCGGCGCGGACGAGGCTCAGGTGGGCCTCGCGCACGACCGCGTCCATCGAGTTGGTGCCATTGCCATAGTCGGAGAGCATCTTGTACTCGCCCGAGACGACGTAGCAAGCGACGGGCACGAGCTGCTTGGCCGAAAGCTCCTTGACAATGTCGCCGTAGAACAAGCTCGGCTTGACGATGACCGTATCCGCACCTTCGGCCACGTCGCGGTCGTAGGCCAGCAGCGCGTGCGTCGTCGAGCCGACCGGGTGCTGGTACCGGTTGCGGTCGCCCTTGAACGTGCTCTCGACCGCGTCCCGGAATGGCGCGTACATGCACGACGCCTTCTTGGACGTGTACGCCATGATCGACACGTGCGCAAAGCCGTTCGCGTTGAGCGACGTGCGGATCGCGCCGATCCGGTTGTCCATCATGTCGGACGGGCACAGCATGTGGGCGCCGGCGCGGGCGTACGCGAGGCCAATGTCGGCGAGGCGCGCGACGGACGCGTCGTTGTCAATGACGTCTTCGTCGTCCACGCGGCGAAGCACGCCGCAGTGGCCGTGGTCCGTATACTCGCACATGCACACGTCGCACGCAATGAGGAGGTCGGGCAGCGCCTTGCGGATCGCCTGCGTGCACGTGATCACAGGCGTCTCCGGGGCGTCGGCCATACGCCCATGGCCGCACTTGTCTTCGACAACGCCAAAGAGCATGATGGAGCGGAGGCCCTTGGCCTGCAAACCGCGTAGATGGGCCACCAAGGTCGCAAAGTCGCCACTCGGCCCCGCGCCCCACTGGACGTTGGGCTCGAGGCCGCGGATCGGGTTGTCAGACGTACGCGATGTGACGAAGAGCGGGTAGATGAGCTGCGACGCATGGATGTGGGGCTCAGTCCACGCACGGTGGGCAGGGTGGGCAAGGCCAGAGTGCAAGCTCATGCTGCTGATGGCTTCGGCAGGATTCGAAAGTGAACCGCTCTCAAGCGCTTTGGGACTTGTCCTTTTTAGGATCTCTGTCCGAAATTAACAGGAGAAATAGAAAGCGAGCCAATCGAGCGTTTGGAACATCCATCCCACTTTACGAGGTGGATGCGCATTTCTGTTCGCATCCGGTACCCATTTCCCTACCCCGTCGTGGAGGACATCGACATGCGGCATGCTGCTGCTGGAGCCGACGTGGCATACCATTTCGTTAGTCGTAAAGACGACACGATTTTGTTGTGAAGTTGGGGGCAATCTCGTTGGTGAGTACCAGAGTGAGTGCCCTTGTCATGCAGTGATGAGTTTTTCGCCACCTGTGATTACATAGTCGACTAGATGCGAAAGTTAGTGGGTAACGCAAGACCGATACACACCCGTTTAGGGACACACGCTGCTGCGTCGTTCGTTGTTTTAACGTCATGTAGAGGTGGGGGACCTCTTCTACCACATCGTCAATGTGGTCTCTCCGATCCATAGCTCTATAGCTATTTAGTTCTACAGCTCTAGTGCTATCGGATTATAGCTCGCTTCGTGCTGCGTTGATCGTGGCAAGTGGCCAGTTGAAAATTTGTGTTTAAAAAATATAGAAAATAGAAACCATCGTCATCAGCCCTTGCCCCATTGCAGGAGGATGAACTCAGGTGAACAGCCAGCTGGCACCAAGGGTATATGGCTCGTGGTATGGACAAGGCGGCAGAGACTGTTGATTGTTCTGGCCCGTCGTCGTTGGCGTACTGCAATCATTTCTGACCGAACCTAACATTTGCACGCGGCTGACCTGACGCGCTCGCGCTCGGTGCCCGGCGTACGACCGATGGTCGTTGACGCTTCAACGTTCACAGCAAAATGAGGCCGATGTCTGTAGAAAGGACTAGGGATTACACTACACAGACACTAGATTCATTTAAAAATACCAACCAGTTTAATAAAATAGACACCGCCCGGTGGCCACCCATGGTGGACACGCCGACTAAGTTTAAAAATACTAGTCGAACTCTAGATGGCGGCGGACTATAGTCATCGGTCGTTGCACGACCACCTGTTCCACCCACACGCCTTCTTTTCCACTGAATTATAATAGTTTAGGCACTAGTCGTTTGTAAAGGACTACGTAATTGCGTCGTATTAAAATAAATTTTCAGTGGTCGTGGACTTCAACAAATATATATTAATTCCTCTATTTTATTAGCCAGGACCTCCTTCCTTTGCTGCGTCCGCTTGGCCAAGGACGTAGTGTACTCGGTCGTCCTCGCAGCGTGGACGTCACAAGTCGTGCCCTTGATGCTCCTTGCACTGCACCTTTCACCGCCATGTCGACGACGCCAAGTGCAATGTGAAATAATAAAATAAAATCGGTTTCGAAACGCGGGACAATGTTTCAGCTGCATTAAATTATAATATATTCGGGCCTTTGCCCTAGTTGCTGACTACGGAATCGCACCCGCCGCAGCAGGATGAGCTCGTCCGCGCTGGCGCCCACGCCGAGCTCGCCGCCGCCGCCGTCGTCGCGCCATGGCAACCACCGGACGGCGCACATCTGGGAACACTTTGTCAAGCGCCACGACCTCGGCAAGTACCACAACAACTGGCGCGTCGAGTGCAAGCACTGCCGCGCTGGCCACGAGGCGGGCACGGGCGCGCCGCCCGAGGTGCTCATCTCGACCAAGCCCAAGATGATTGCGCACCTCAAGGCATGCGCGTTCGCACCGCGCGCCGAGCTCGCGTACCTCGACTTGATCGAAGCCGAGCCCCGCGTCGTGCGCAAGGACAAGCCGACCAAAGAGAACGACGTGCGCAACGACGTTAGCAGCAGCGAGACGCGCAAGGACGCCGTCGACCCCGAAGCGCACCTCTCCAAGAAGGCGCGTGGCGACAAGATCAAGATTGCGCGGCCGCACGTCAAGCGCACGCACACGTACCAGAACCCCGCGACCGCCCACGTGTGGGAGCACTTTCTCAAGCGCCACGACCTCGAAAAGTACTACAACAACTGGCGCGTCGAGTGCAAGCACTGCCGCGCCGCGTATGATCACCGTGGCGACGACAACTCGGTGCCCGAGCCCAAGATTATCATTTCGGCCATGCTCAAGATGAAGGCGCATCTGAAGAAATGCGCCTACATCCCACCGGGCGTCGTCCTCGCCATGGATCTGCAACCGTCGCCGCCCAAGTCGACCGCCGGCCTCGCGGCCATCCGCGCGCTCGTGCCACGACGCAACGACAAGTGCATCGTCGCGGTCCGGTCCGACGTCGAGCAAGAGCCGTTCTGGATCGCGTGCTTGGTCGACGAGGTCGACACGGCGGTGATGGCAAGCGACCGCGTCGTGAATGTCACGTGGCTCTCCAAGACGAGCCGGGGATTTTACATCTACGCCAACGACGACACCGTACCGCTCGGTGCGATCCTCTGCGAAGTCTCGCTCGACGAGATCCATCCGGACGAATTTGCGATTCCGCGCATTTTCCTCGACAAGGTAACATATATTTTGTGTTGCAATTACCAAAAATCCACTTTCAATTGTGTAGATTCGAGATGCTTTGGCGCGCAACACGACGATTCCGTTCGTGTACAAGCGCAAGCGGGAGGCGCCGAGTAGCGGCCACCCGCTGCCGTCGCTCAAGCGACAAAAGGTCGAGCCGCAGACGTCGTTTCTGACGCTGCCGACCCGCAGCGTCGATGTAAACGCTGGCAACCACCGGCGCACCGCCAACTACCACATCTGGGAGCACTTTACGAAGCGCACCGACATGGACAAGTACCATTCGTATTGGTACGTCGAGTGCAACCACTGCCGGTATGCGTACGCCCACCGCGGCTCAACCGGGTACCCGGCGACGACGCCCGAGCCGACCCCGTTCCGGTCGACCGTCGCCTACATGCAGACGCACCTGGACAAGTGCGTGTACGCGCGAGCTGCAATGGCGTCGGCCGCGCCGTGGCAGAGCAACAACAACACTACGACGACCAACTCCACTACCAACGCGCCATGGCAAGGCGCGCCGATGCCAGCAAGCATGCACCCCCCCGCGTCGTCCGTGCGCAGTGTCGCGCCGCCGGGGGGGCACTACCCCATGTACCACCCGGGCCCCCCGAGTATGGTGTTTGCCACCCCCCACGGACCGCCGACGGCGATATTGCCCGGCTTGCGGCTTGTCGACGAAGACGCGCAGAGCGTCACGAGCAGCGCAGCGGTACGCACTTCGATCCTCGCTCGCGACATCTTTTTTACATATTTATTTGTGTCTAGTTTGAGGCCGAGCTCACGTCGCGGGAAGATGCACTTGAGTCGCCCGAGTTTGCGAGTCCGATTTGGCGCCACTTTGTCAAGCGCAGCGATGTGCCCAAGTTTTACTACTTTTGGAAGGTCGAGTGCAAGCACTGCCGGTACGCGTACGACGTGCAGCGGGCGACGCGCAACGAACCCGTCCTAATCGACTCGGACCCCGTGCTCATGCGCTATCACATTGAGCACTGCCGGTGGATCACTGCGCCCGGCGAGATCGTTGACCGCGTGCTCTCAGCGTCGTCCAGCGCAGCGCCAAAGATGGCCGGTGACGACGTCCACGTGGTCTTTCCGGCCATGACGGTCGTCGCCGTGCGCAGTGACCAGAGCAAGCGCGAATTTTGGCTCGCGCAGCTCGGGTTTGACGTGACGGCCGGGATGCTGCGGTCACCCGACCCCGCGACCGTCGACGTGACGTGGCTCGACAAGTCGCACTCGAGCGGCATGTACAGCTTTGGCGCCGACGAGCCGATTCCAGTGACGTCGATTTTGTGCGACTTGGAGCTCGAAGAAGTCGCGCCCGGCGCGTTCCTCGTGCCGCCGCTGCATGTGGACCGGGTACGTCATCTTGTCGTCTTGTCCACTCTGAGGTTTATGGGTAGATTCAACACTATTTGCTTGTGTAAGACGTGCTAGACAAATTGTACAATTACTGTAACCAACACGTTGTCGCTTATCGTTCGCTGAGGCGACTGTCATAGTCGTACTCGTCGTCGAGTGCATGTGAGAGCGAGAGAAACGACGCGTCGACCGTCGCATAACTGTTGGTGCTGCCGTCCGGCGTCTGCCAGCCGTGCACCGACGCGCCCGAGACGCCCGAGATCGACTGCTCGTCCAGCGCGTCCGGGTAGCTCCCGGGTACTATGTGGTCCTTGGGCGACGGGCGGCTCGAGCGCAGGATCATGGTCGTGCAGTCGTCGTCGGTGAGGATCGAATGCGGCAAGCCATCGTCGTTTTGGTACAAGTGGAACCACGAGACAGGCGCCGTGGGCGACCCGACAACGACCACGACGTCGGGCCGGGGCTTGCGGCACGGCCGTTTGTCGCAGCGAGATCCGATGACAGCGACGACGGCAAGGAGCGTGACGGCGACGACGGCGGCAACGACCAGCAGGACGGGCGACGACAAGGGGGCTCCAGGCGCGTCGGTCGCAGCCAGATGGCGCAGGCTACGTGAGGTGGTAGACATAATATTACGTACGATGGCGACGTCGGTGGCGACGGCCAGCGTAATGGCGCTCTCTGGCCTCTGCGCGCAAGCGATACTGTGAGTTGGTAGAGGCCACGACGCGGGGGTGATTGGATCGCAGCCATTGGTGCATGCGTCGACGTGGCACAGAGGTGGCACGGTCGATGGCACGAGCAGTGTCCAGCCGGCGCTGGTCGGCGCGAGGGTGACGCCATGCGGGCAGCGCGCCAGACGCACCCAGTCGTCCTTGCCTGCTTCATAGCAGACCAGCGCCACCATGGCACCGCCTTTCTAAAAAATAAGCCAAAATTTCGAAGCCGCCCAACGACACTTGTTCTTCCTGCTGGTTCTGCGAGACAAGAGCAAGCTACTCTCTTACACTTAGAGCCGATCGAGCGCGTCGTGATCGTCCGCGTCGGCGTCGTGGGTCGACTCAAAGAACGCGTCGTGCACGTCTGGGTGGGCATCGTAGGCGAGAACGGCCGCGCGCGGGCTGCTTGGCACCATGAGCTCGTTCGTCTCGTCGTCGTCGTCGTCGTCTTCGTCAATCACGCCAAGCGACGTCCATTCGCTTTTGGCAGGCTTGGCCGGGCGCACCACCGCGTAGACGCACGCGCCCAGAAAGAGAAGCGCGAGGCCAACGCCCACGACAGTGTTGACCACCGGGTAGGCATCGTCGTCGTCGTCGTCACCATCCGCAAGCACATCGGCGCCGACTTCGGCGATCACGGCCGCCTCCCAATGCGACGAGGCTTCGTCGAGCGCCGAACCATTCCCGCTTGCGTTCGCATGCTGCGCCGCGCCGTACTCTACACGGCCATATGAGACTCCTATCATTCGTAGTATCTGCATGCAGAGGCGCACCGCACGTGGCTGGCACAAAGCCGACGCGGTGGTGGTCCGGATCAAACACAAAGTCGTGGTTGGTCATGAGGTCGGCGCCAATCACTAAGCGGACGCGTCGTGAGCACGACCGCAGACGATGATAATAGATCGTACCGCCCATGGGCGCATCGTCGAGGAGTGCAATGGACGACGCAAACCGACCGGTCTCGCCTTGGACGAGATACCGCGATGGCGGGACCGTGAGCACGACGTCTTCGCCTTCCATGCCTAACACGCCAGTTGGTCGACATAGTGTGCGGAGACCACGACGACGAGCGGACCTTCAAAGACGTATTCAATGGTTGGCATCTTGGAGAGCTGGCCGCGCGCGTAGCCGCCTGTGAGGTCGCTCTCTCTGTACTTCTTCAAGCCGGCATTTTTGAACGACCGATCAAACTCGTCGCGAAGCGCCGATGGCAGCGACGACGTCGGCGACCCGCTGTCGAGGACGACGCTCTGGTGCAGTCGCGGCGAGAGGTCGAGCGGCTTGCCGCCAATGCGAATGTCGCGGATCGTGAGCTCGTACCACCTGACATCGTACGCTATCGCAACGATGTGCGAGTCGTGTTCATACCCGTTGGTGTTGGGCGCCATGCGGGCAAACTGGAGCGCACCGAGGCGTCGGCGGGGCTCGTCGGGCGCGGCCACCGGTGTACCAAGCGCCATCGTGCCGCCGGTCGACGTCAAGCAGAGCGAAAAGACGTTTTGGTCGATCTTCTTGTCGGCGTAGAGCTGCCGCACAAAGCTCGTGGCTAGTCATATACACCAAGTCGTCCTGTGAAATGTAGACAGTATGTGATTGAGATACCAGAGTCGGCCACGCCCAAGACGCCACTCGTGGCAGGAAAGGTACCTGCATCGGCGTGAGCTTGCGGCGTCGCACCGTACGTACCTGTGATTTCCTTCTGACAACCAAAAGAAAAGCGCGTGCTGTACGGAGACGATGCATTATTGTCATCGCCGAGTGCGACGACGTCGTTGACGACGACGCCGGTCCACGCCCCGCCTTCCGAGTACGCCTACGCCCCGATCTGCGTCAACACGATGCGACGCCATTGCAGGTGGCACCTGGGAGATGTGGCACGTGGCATCGACGTCGCAAGCAGCGCACTGGAACGTGTTCGCGGCGCTCGTGCAGTTGGGGTACGTCAGCGTGGTCGACGATGCCACATCAAAGGACGCGCCGCTAGAGCCATCAGGAGGTTGGCATCGAGAGAGGTGCGTACCCGGCGCAGGGCACAGCGAGGATGTGGCTGCCCGTGTCGACGACCACAGGTGCGCGCTGGGGCGGCGACCCGAGGTAGGCGTATGTGTAGTGGGTGCTAGCGGATGCTAAGACGACGACGATGCGAGTCGGCGAAGCGTACCCTGCGTCAAGGCGGAGCGGCACGACTTGGAACGACCCGTCGGCGAGCTGGCGTAAGCTTCTTCGTGCGCCAAGCACATCGCGGTGCAGCGGTAGGACGTGGTAGGCGCTCGAGGGCAGCGCCAGCGCCAGCGCAAGGACGTGCGACTTGACCATCGTGTGCTGGAATCACTCGGCCTGTTTTTTTGCCACGGTACGCGAGCTGACTAATAAAACGCCACCTTAGCCAGCCTTGAGCACCAGACGCGCAGTCCCCTACGCATAAAAGCTTCCTCTTCTATCAACGCAAGGTCGCGACACGAATACGATCTCGTCAAGGACCCATGGCGGCCCTTCAACTTCTCACAGCTCTTTTGTCGCACGATGCTTCAACCAGAGGCAGGTTGTCAACGGTAAATGCAAGCCAGATGCGTGCGCTTCAGCCACGTACACGCACAAGGTTGCTCGTCCCACTGCTTGGCAACGTATATACTAGTATCTGCCGCGTCGCTCTTCCACGGAGCTGTCCTGGAAGGCTCGATGGATCACACCGACTTCCTCAGGAACCCAAAGAGTTGCGTCGCTTCAGCCACCGTACATGCCGTACGTACATGTGTACTGTACGGCTAGGAATGTACGATATTTCGTACATTACAATGGACGGTTTTCCGGATCGTGATCTTCCCAACGGGCGACGAGCCGAAGCAGGTCCGGGCCAAGCGGGTGCAGGGACGCGTCGACGTCGACTTCGCGAGCTGCTCGAACGGCGGCGTTGGCCTTTAAGAAGCGCTCGGCGGCGGCCTCGCGCTCGTCGCCCTCGGCTGTGAGCGCCAGCAGGTAGCTCGCTTCGCGCTCGAGGTACACGTCGTCGCGGCTGGCAGCAATCGTCATGGCTTGTCCAAGCCATGCCATGGCCATCGGCGCGTCCGACACCAAGAGTGTCTTTGCGAGTGCGAGCGCATACTGCCCCTGGAGGTGCAGCCCGCCATGCTCTTGCACCTGGGGTAAGGCGGTCTCGAGGAGCGACGCCGCGTCCCCGCTCCGATCCATGTGCAGGTAGAGCTCGGCCAAGACGAGATGCGCATGGACGCGGACTGCGTCGAGGGCCCGTTCGTCACATAGCTGCAAGCAGTGCAGCAAAGGCGGCAGCGCTTCGAACGGGGCGTCGGGAGCTCCCATCGAGTACGCCTACACAAATCGAGTGTTTTCTGCCTGCCAGTCGTGCAAGCGAGCTCTACCTGGGCGAGCAGCAGCAGCGCTTTCGCGTGCATCGGCGGATGCTCCTTTGCGATCGGCAGCAGCGCTTGCAAGACGTTGGCTGCGTCCAAGTACCTCTCCTGCTGGTACAACCATAGCCGCACTACCCCGATAGCAAGGTCCGCTTCCACCGATGAAGACGATGCGGCGTACCTTGCAGCAAGGTAGCCTCGACGCGCGCAGACGTCGACGCACCGGCAAGATCCGACAGAAGCTGCTGGCAGTGCGTGGCCCGGCGCCACTGCCCGCGTGCAAAACTCCACTCAAACAAGACGTGCAACACAGCTTCGCGGTACGCGGGCTCGTGCGTCACGTGCCATTTGGCACTGGCCATCGCGAGCCATTGCAGCGACGACGCGTAGAGGCTGCAGAACTACTGAGCCAGACCACAATGGTGACGTGCATACTACCTCGAGGACGGCGGGGAGGGCGTGGGAAGCACCACGGGGTCCATCTGAAGAAGCGCAATGCGCCGCATCTACTGCAAGTCGTGAGACGAGGTGGACAAGACGTTGTACCCACCGCAAGGGCGATGTCGGCGCTCGAGATCGCATAGCAAAGTCCATAGAGCTGCGTGTGCAAGTGGGCTAACGTCCGGTGCCCGAGATCATGCCAGACGCCGGCCGTCGTGAGCGCAATGGCGCCCCGGAGCGCGGCCCACCGACCCAGGATGTCGTCCTTCTCGGCCGTGGTCCATGTGGTGGGCTTGAGTGGCACCGTTGGTTCACTCTTGTGGTGGAGCCCCGGCAACGCCGATGCCTTTGGGGCGCGGGTGTTGGCGGCGGCTTCCAGCTCGGACGCGACGTGCTGCAGCTGGAGCCACACGGCAATCGGTCGGGGCGCCGGCGTCGTCAACGACTCGCGCACGTCGGCGTGCACGGCCGAGAGAAGGCCCGCGAGGATCGCAAGCGCAGTGAGCCCGAGGTCGCCGGCGCGGTCGACGCACTGCCGACTCCGCTCGTGCGACGCTGGGAAGAGCTGCATGTACCAAGCGAGTGCGAACGCGACGCAGACGCCGTCGCGCTTGTGCTGCGCGACGCGGAGGGTTTCGTGGAGCGCTGAGAGCGCTTCGTCCATGTAGCCAAAGCTGCTGTAGAGCCCGACGAGGTTCAACGTGGCGTACTGCGGGCCACAGCCATGGTCGAACGTCCGGAGCGCGTGGTCATGGTACGCGTGCAATGCATGCAGCGCGCCGAGGTACTCGCGGTGCACCTTAAAATTGAGATACCGCGCAAAGAGCAGCCGTGGGCACGACGGATGGCGTTGTAGCTGTGTCGAGAGACAGGCTTCGACGCGTTCGAGCGGGTGTTCGATGCGACCAGCGTCGAGGCTCTCGAGCAGGTTGTCGACGTCGAGTGGCAAGTCGCATGTCGATCGGGAGGGCGAAGTCACGTAGGCGCGCAGCTCGAGCTGGAAACGACACATGCGGTCAAAGAACGCGGTCGATGCGGCCAGCGCGAGCATGCGGAGGAAGCGCCCGAGCGGCGTGGCCGGGTCGAGGCCCGTTGACGTGGGCTGCAAATGATCCCGGAGAAAGTCATCGACGTCGTCGATAGAAGCCTGCGCAAGGTGCTTCATTGTGGACTCGAGCGCCAGCGCCCACTCCGTGTCGATGGCGGCGACGGCAGCGAGGAGCGCGTCGAACGGCAGCGGCAGCGCGATGGCGGTGACCCGCTCGAGCAAGAGCGCTGCAAGCTCGTGCTGCCGACTGTCAAAGGCGGCGCTGGAAGAGACGAAGGGCGCCGACTCGTGTGCATGGAACTCGGCGGCGAAGCGCGCGATGAGGTACGCGAGGCAGACGTTCGGCGCACTGAGCTCCGCAAGCTGCGGATCTCCCATGACACTATTTCCAGCGACTTCAACTCGACGTTAAAGCGCGTCAAAGGATTAACCTTGGGTTTATCGATCGGCATTGGCAGTTTAACCTATGGCGCGGCCCACGTTTAATGTCGCAGCCTTCCTGGCGGAACCACAGGATACTCGAGAGTAGTCGTTCGCGACGTGCCTTTGGCATCGTTTCGGCACAACAAAGCTAGCTTGGAGCACGCTCGTTCGCCTGTGGGCTTGCCTCGGGCTGATCAGATTGCATAAAACCGAAAGCGTCTATGTTTACCCTATTTGACCTAAATCGGGCAGAATAGTGTCGATCCCAGTTTGGTGTTTGTTTCGTGCTCGGCGACGATGATGATGGTGGTGCAGCTCGTCTGCGGTCTCGCGCTGCTACCATGGGTCATGAGCCTCGACGAAGGCCGCGTCGTGCGCATGGGCCTCAAGCGCGCCCTGCCGCTCCGGCGGCGCCTCGACAGCGCGGCCAACGCGACGACGGCGCTGTTTCTCAAGAACGAAGTTCCGCTCGGCGTGGGCGCCGGGTACGATGCAGCGCCATGGCCGACGGCTCCTGCATGATACTACCTCTGACCTCTGTAGCACGCACTATGCTGAGCTGTACATGGGGCTACCGCCGCAGAAGGCCTCGGTGATTGTCGACACGGGCAGCCACTTGACGGCGCTTCCGTGCGCCTCGTAGGACGCCGCTTCGATTCCAATGGCCTCTGCAACTTGCGTAGATGCCCCAACTGCGGTACGCACACCGACCCGCCGTACGACATTGCCAAGTCGTCGACCGCGCGCTTCATGCAGTGCGACGAGTTTGACGGCTGCTCATCCTGCGAGCAAGACCAATGCCGCATCTCACAGGTCCGAACTGTCGACTCGGACTGGATCTGACACGCGATGCTAGAGCTACGCCGAGGGCAGTATGTGGTCGGCGCTACTGATCAACGAGCTCTGCTGGGTCGGGCCGCTGGACGCGAGTGGCGAGAGCAATGCGACATCGAGCATGGCGGCGGCGGGCGTGCGGTTCCCGATTGGATGCCAGACCAAGGAGACCGGTACGCACATGCAAATACCTCGCTATGTGCACTGTACTGCGATCTAGGGCTCTTCATCGGGCAAAAAGAGAATGGGATCATGGGGCTCTCGCAGGACCGGAATACCTTCATGGCGTACCTCGTCTCGGCCAAGAGGGTAGATCGCAACCTCTTCTCGCTCTGCTTTGCCGAAAATGGCGGGCAAATGGTCCTCGGCGGCGCCGATGAAAGCGTTCACGTCGCTGCCCCCGTGTACACGCCGCTCCTCACCGCCAGGTACCTCCATTTTCTTTCTCCTTGTACCAAGTGAATTGGGATATGTAGTGGCTGGTTCACGGTCGAGCTTCTCGATATCAGCGTTGGCAACAAGTCGCTCGGGATCGCGCCGGCGACCTACAACCAGTACGCGCCTCCTTGGGATCCTCCTTGGTGCTATCGAGGAGCTTTGCTCTAGTGGCCGCGGCGTCATTGTCGACAGCGGCACGACCGACTCGTTCTTCCCGAGCAGCGCGGCGTCGGCGTTCAACGCCGCGTTCACCGAGCTCTCGGGCGGCCATGAGTTTCTGGATAACGTCGAGGACCTTCTCACGGACGACGCACTTCGGCAGCTACCACCGATCGTGCTGACGCTGCGGGGTCCGACCCGGTCGTCGATGATCACGCTTCAGATCCCAGCGACGCAATACTATACCAAAGTGAGCGAGGACGGACACTACACGTCAAGCTTTCACTTTTCCGAGCCGTCGGGCAGCGGTGGTACGCTGTATCCTCTATGAATGGTCCCAGAAGACGATATCTTGTCTAGTTCTTGGCGCCAGCACGATGCTCAACTACAATGTCATCTTTGACATGGAAGGCCGGCGCATTGGGTTTGCGCCCGCGCGCTGCGATGCCAACAGCCGCGCGCTATGTACGTGGCGACCGGTTGCGATTCAGATTGAGATTCAGGACGGCTACGTAGTGTTTGGACCAAGCGTGGCGAGCGGACCGCTACTGCTGCCTCCGATCAACTCGTTCTGGTACCAGTACGAGACGCTCTTGACCGTGCTGGTCGCGTGCTCGTTCATGGGAGTTGTGCTCCTCTGCCTGACGTTTCTCTTGCGCCGCAAGTGCAGTGCCAAGACGCGCTGGGTACGCCTCTCGACCAGCGACCACTCCCCGTCGCCGCGCCCGATTGCACTCAACGCAATGGATGTGAGTCCAGAACTGGTACGCGACGCAGATATCTGGATCTGAATTTGAATCCTCTGTCTAGTTTGAGTCGGGGGATGGAAGCCCCATGACGCCACCGACGCCACCGTCGCCCCAGCGCCGCCTCTCGCGGTCGCCAGATCTGCATTCGATTCCAGAGAGCGACTCGGAGTAGTTGTCATAGCATGAGATAGTAGAAAGGAGTACATATTGTCTGCTCGTGTGCACCGTTTGGTTGGATCTAGAGACAGGCGTCTTCTGTGGACTCTAGCACCACGAGTTATAGCAGCAAACATTGCACCTCACGCTCCTACTACTGTACAACGACCGGCGAGGAAACGTCGCGGATGATCGTCATTTTGATGCCAGACAATAGCGCACGCTTGATGCTGCCACAGAACGACGCCACGTACCCGATCCAGGCCATTGTGAGGTTTGATTCGCTAAAAAGGCTACTATTTTTAGCCAATCCGGCTCGGCTTGGATCTGTGTGTGTGTCGCCGAGCCACCACGACATTGCGCTGGAAAATGAAATCGCTCATATTTGGCAGGTACAAAGAAGGCATGTTGGAGAGGCCAACGCGCCACGTCGCGTCATCGTTGGACGTCTACAGCCCGTGAAATCTGACAATTTGTGTCGGTCCAGTTGACCAATCACATCACGTCACGGAGAGGGTCAAGCCATGTATCCGGATGATACACTGGCAATCCAGACCACCTTCGCCACATGGAACGCGATCAAAGACCGCTACCTGACCATCTTCACCTTCGCTGTCAGCAGTGGCCATGCGGCGTCACACGGAGCGCTGGGTACTGCGCTTGCAGAAACGCAACGATCTCGACGTGTCTGTAATAGATGGCGCGATCGAGCAGCCTTCGAGTCGGTACGCATGCAACCAGCGCACGACATCCAGAAACCCGTTGGTCGCGGCGTAGTCCATGGCCTTGGCCGAGCACCCGGTCGATCCGGCCTCGTGAAGCACCTTGAGCGTCTCGAGGTGCCCGTTGTACGCGATCTTATCCATCGCAAAGCCGGCGACGGCCAGTGCAGATAGACCATGTCGGCGAGGTTGATGCCCTTCTCACGCACTGAAGTAGACGCGTGTGGCCGCCGAGAGCCGCCGTCGTCGCGAGGGCCTTTGGGGGCTGCAGCAGCGTCGCGATCTCGTCCAGCCAGACGTTCTCCATGGGCGCCGCCAAGATCTGAGCAATGTAAATCGCGTCGTCCTCGTACGGGACGTCATTCGCATATGCGTCAAAGGCGTCGACATGCATATCCAGACCCATCCAGACCAATGTGGCTCTCTTTGCCATGGTACAAGGCGTGTCATGTCCTTGGAGCGAATCAAGCGCCAGCAGCGCGCGCGGATGCCGGCTTCCGGCAACATTGCGAGGCCAGTCGAGGCGAAAGGCGTCGACCCACAGCTCTGAGGCAACTTTATCGTACGCCGCGACGTTCTGCAAGGTACCGTTGAATGGACAGAGCGGCGGGCGCAGATCGTCTTGACGTTGTGCGCTGCCTCCATACAAAGTGCCACGCGCCGTGCACGACCCTTAGCATGGACACTGCCGCGTACGATGGACACCTCGACATTGTCACATGCCTGCACACGCACCGTACCGAAGGCTGTACGACAATGGCAATGAATGGCGCGGCCTGCTATGGCCATTTCAAAGTAGTTGAGTGCCTCCACCGAACCGAGGGCTGCACCAAGTTTATGCGGCATCGCGCAACAACCACATGGACGTTCTCCAGTTGTTGGCGGCGTCGCACAACGAAGGCGGGACGACCAAGGGGATGGACCGTGCCGCGCACCGAGGCCACTTTGAGGTTGCGCGCTCCGTCCACGGGTACCGCGGCGAAGGCTGCACGACGCGCGCCATCGATTGGGCAGCGGCTGCGGGGCACTTGGCCTTGGCGATTGTGCAGTTCCTCATCGAGCATCAACACGAGCGCTTTACATACCGAGGCATGTTTTGGGCGGCGCGGGAAGGTCATGCGGACGTACTTGCGTACCTCTTGGCACACGACATCGCCGACAAGGCAGCGCGCGCTCGACGACAGGAACCATGTGGTTTCCATCAAGCGGCGTAGTACATGGCCACACTCGACATGGGTGCGATCTGGTGGAACAGCAGAGCCGATGGCGGCTTTGCTTTCACGTAGTACGAGGCGCCGGTCGATGACGACGAAGAGTGCTTCTGCGACTGGGACTCGGACCACTCGACCGAAGGCTGCATGTTTTGGTACATTCTGCACTGTCGACTCGATGTTTTTATTCTAATGCTCATGGGTCGATTGCATTTTTGCTATGCATGGCTGTTGTTGAAATGACTATGATTCGGCCCATTTTGGCACGGGGACCAGTTGATAATATATTGATGTTGAAATGGGAACCTTGATAATAATATTTGGCCAAAACGGGGACCAAGTGAAAACTACTCCCGCCTCATCCGCAAAGTGTCAAGCAACTACCATGTCGTTCTTCTCAAGCCTCTCAAACCTCACCAAGCAGATCAACGAAAACCCGGAGCACCTCAAAAAGCTTGAGGAGTATGGCAACCAGCTTATCGACGAGCACATTCGCAACAGCACCAAGAACGCGACGGCGCCGCCGCCGACCGACGCATGGGTAGGCTTGGCTGTGGCTGTATGAACATAGTCTCATTTGTATTGAGGCGCAGCACCACCAGGGATACCACAACGCAAAGAAATCGCTCTTTATCGGTATCAACTACTACAACACCAAGGGGAAGCTCCGCGGTACGACTCCATCGAATCCGGCTCATGTTCGCTAACGTAGATGTATCTAGGCTGCATCAAGGACGTCGAGAACCTCTCGAACTTTGTCCTTGAAAAGTACGGCTTCCCCACCAACACGATGCGCAAGCTCACGGACGACGGCAATGGCTACGCTCACCCTACGCGCGCCAACATCATCTCGGGCATGCGCTGGCTCGTGCAGGGCGCCAAGGCCGGCGACTCGCTCGTCTTCTTCTTTAGCGGCCACGGTTCGCGGGTGAAGGACATGGGTACGTTGACATTTTGTGCGTTGCAACGGTGGTTCTCACATACATGTACAGAAGGTGACGAGGCCGATGGCATGGACGAGACCATTTGCCCCGTCGACTACACCACGGCTGGTATGATCACCGACGACGAAATGCACGCCATTCTCTGCGCGCCGTTGTCCGCTGGTGTCAAGCTCACGGCGATTTTTGACTGCTGCCACTCGGGCTCGGCGCTCGACCTCCCGTTCACGTACACGATCGACGGCAACTTGCAGATCCACGAGCAGGACAATCGCCTCGTCGCGGTCAAGAAGTTCTTCTGCGCCGGCCTTGATTTCCTCCGCGGCGATACGCAGGCGGCCAAGCGTGGCTTCCAGGGCGCGTACAGCTCGTTCTCGGCGCCCGCCGCGCCGACGTCGGGCCCGGTTGCGGTCAAGTTCATCAAGAATAATACTACCAAAGGCGACGTCGTCCTCTTCTCAGGCTGCATGGACTCGCAGACGTCGGCGGACGCGGTCATTGACGGCGAACCCACCGGCGCCATGACATACGCGTTCATCTCGGCGTTGAAGGAGCACTCGATGGACATCACGTACACGGAGCTCCTTCGCGCGCTCCGTGAGTTTATGCTGAACAAGTACTAGCAGGTCCCGCAGCTCTCGACTGGTCGGCCCTTGTGCATGGACGTTAAGTTCTCGCTGTAATGTTTGAATTTAAAAGTTTGTTTTTGTGCACTTTGTTGCGTACAAGGTGCACAACACAGCTACAGCTGGCAACGATGGCGAATGCTACAGTTCCTCACTCCTATCTGGGCGGAACGAACTTGTGGTCCACCCATGAATCGTCATGTGATCTGGACCAGTGTCGAGCCTATGACGTGGCGAGCTCGCTGCACCAAATCGCGGGCACTCGTCCAGCCCCGTCGTTCTACTTCAAGTTGAATCGTGCTGGTACTTGTACATGCACACAACATAAACAACCAGTGCACTCTTATGGTTCCCGGATGCCAAGAACCTACATCGCTTGCAACGCAACTTCTGAGTCAGAACAGCTCCACAACTTCGATAGCTTATACGTCATGAAAAACTCATCCATACACTGAGCATGTTGCAAGTGGCGAGGGAACCAACTAGGAAGTAGGATCATTTCAAGTATGATTGTAGGAAGTTGCATGGCCCCTCGAGCCGACTCGATTCATCTCGCGGGAAAGTGAAGAGGGCTCAAGACGGGCCATGTCCCTGGATGACGACAGACCCCCATTCTCATATGACGTGGCAAGAGGATGGGAGCCTCTATGGCTGATGCCACGCGTTCTGCTGCAACCGATGTGCACGACGTAAATGACGCTTGCGCAAGTCCCATCGAGAGCGCCTAGGAGAAGACCGAGTCCGTTCTTTGGATCCGAGTGCCATCGATCCTATCTCAGACGGGCTTGTGGTTGGGTGGATTTAGCAACTGGTCACTGCGACAGAATAAAGCAGCGGATTGCATGCAGTGCGTGGGAAACAGCGTATGTGAGGGTGGGCGCCCAACGCGATGGCGTTCCTCGATTGGTTGGTACAATTGTACGAGTTTGAAAATCTCCAATGCAGATCGCAATTAGGCCCACCTGATTGGTTGGAACATGAGCCAATCAGATGAAGGCATCGTCGGCATCCCAATCTTTGGAGCGATGTTTCTCGACGAGGACAAGCGGGCGAAGTACGAGCTTCCGCGGGCAAGTCCATGTACTTCCGGTGGCTGCAGCAGCCAACCAAGCTGTCCCCCTGTCTTGATCGCCATAGTTCATCTCTTCCTTCTTCTAGTGTCCTACGTATCATACGGGGCGTAGTCTTTGCACGCGACGACGTTAACGAAGGCTTCCAGACCGCCCATGAACGCGGCCAGAGACCCTGTATACTGTCTTTTCCACTGGAAACTCAACTCAAATTCTGTCTTACAGCGTTTACTCGATGTTGTACTCCTTGACGAGTTCGTCGTAGTAGTTGATGATGTCGCGGACGTACTTGCGCTTCTCGGTGTAGTCGCCCGGCATGAACGAGCGCTTGAAGCCCGTGAGAATGACGCGGCGGAGCTCGGCCGGCGAGAGGTCGAGCGCATCGACCGCGAGGCGGACTTCGCGGACCATATCGGTGTGCGAGACCGTGCAGTTGTCCGTGCAGAGCGTCACCGCGAGCTTGCCGTTGATAAACTTGGTCGCGGGGTGGCGCGCGCAGTCGTTCTCGATCGCGGGCACGGTCTGCAGGTTGGAGCTCAAGCACACTTCGACGCACGTGCGCATGTTGCCCATGTAGTTGACAAGGCCGTCGCAGTACGCCTGCTTGTCCTCGTCCGACATGTCCTTCCGGATCTCGTGAGGATGGAAGAGGTGGTAGCCGTGGCCGATGCGCTCGGCGTGGAGGTCCGTGATCGCTTGGAAGATGGACTCGGGGCCAAAGCCCTCGCCGGCGTGGACGGTCTTGTGCATGAACTTCTTGTGCGCGTATGCAAACGCCTCAATGTGGTCCGAGGCCGGGAAGCCGTTCTCAGCGCCCGCAATGTCCAGGGCGACGATCGGGAGGTTGTGCTCGACCTTGGCCGCATACGCCTGCGTGATGAGCGCCATCGACGCAAGGCCATACAGACGGTGGGGCTCTTCGTGCTTGTGGACAAAGCAAAAGTGCTCGTAGTACGGGCCAAAGACGGGGAGGAAGAAGCGCATCGCGCAGACAATGATGCCAAAGCCGAAGCGCGGCGCCTTGCCCGAGACCACGTCCTCGTGCGCGTTGGCTTTGTCCGTGGCGCGCTGGAGACCGTTGTTGACGTGAATGAGCACCTGCTCGATCGACATGGTGTTTGCGTCAGCGAGAAGCTGCGGCGCAAAGCGGGCCTCAAAGTACCGGACACCGACGGCGTACTGGTCGACACCGAGCTCGTACGAGACGCGCTCGAGCGCCTCCGGGTTGCGGATGACGGCGCACGTGTAGGCGAAGCAGCGCAGGTACTCTTCGAGGTTGTTGTACGTCTCCTTGAAGATGCACGTGCTCATTTGCTGGAGGTCGTACGTCGGGAGCTCGACGCCTTGCTCTTGCGCGAGCTCGATGAGCGTCGCGGGGCGGATGCAGCCGTCCAAGTGGCAATGGAGGTCCGTCTTGGGGATCTTCTGCAAGAACTCGTCGGGGTACCGGGCGTTCTTGGGGAAGACGCGCTTCGGAGGAGGAGGAGTCGAGGTCATTTTTGTATTGATCGAGCTGCTGCTGCTGCGGGCGCGGGCTGGCAAAAGGAAAACTGACAAAGAAGTTGCCAAGGATCGGCCCCGTCCTGTGACACGTTGAAGCGCCATCTGGTGAATGGCCCAGAAGAGCCAACTTCAACCCACGTGGTGGCACCTCGTATGCTGTATAGTATACAAATTGCAAGAGATCGCGATCTTGGACAGTTTCATCCAATGAAAAAAAGGCAAACTCGTGGCGCAGCTACCGGGCCGCCACCCGCGACAGGTTCAACGTTACCTGCATCGGGCCGCCGGCGCATGGATCTTGGGCGTGAATCGGCGTTGCCGCGCGTTGCGAGTGGGCCGCGCCTCTGCGACGGTTGGGTCACTTCGCGCCAACGTTGAAGCACGCCTGCGCAGCCTCACCGCCACACAAGAGCAGCCAGCACACCCTGTCGCTCCCGATTGTCCGACCTGGCGCCACCTGGCGCGCTCGACGTGGTGTCGTGGGCGGTTTGGGTGATCGCTCTTTGGTGTGATGCATTTGAATGGACGCGCGAGGAGCTCGCCTTCGTACCGGTAGCTCGCAGCCAGGCTCTTCTATGTCTGCGAGATCCGCGGCGTACGTAAGTTCGAGGCCGCGACGACAAAGGCTGAAAGAGCTGCTGAAAGCATCGCCCGTGACGGTGCAGAGTTGCAGCAACAGCCTCGGTCGTCGCATCGCGATTCAGTAGGACATATATGTAGTACAAGCAGTATAACAAAGTGCGATGGGTATACGACTAGTTTTTGGTCGGCGTCGCTTTGCGCGGGTACGCGCTATCGCGGGCGGGCGACTCGTTCAGGGGCAGGCCCTGGTACGCGTTGAAGCCGTGGAGACAGCCCTTCGCCTTGGCATGCACAAGCGCCTCGTTCATGATCTTGGCGAGCGAGCACGCGGCCCAGACCTCATGGCGCTTGACGCGCCGCTTGCCTTCGTCGCTGTACGTGCGGTTGACGTCGGACCACTGACTCGGTGGCGGCAGCGCGAGGAGCATCGCATTGCACTCCATCAAGTCTTTTGGCATCGAGTACTTGTAAAAATGAAAGCCCTTGTCTTGGTCTTCGAGCAAGCCAAAGCGCTGGCAGTAGTGCAACGCGGTCGGCGCCGTCGGTGGGAGCACGACGTCGCCGTCGTCGCACGGGTTGGCAATACTCGCTGGCGCAAAGTCCCATGCTTCCAAGGGCTCGCCACCGGGCCAGTTGCCGCCCAAATGGTTCACAATCGTGTGCTTGATACCGTGGTTGCCGGCCGCGAGCGAGTACGCGTACATCTCGACCATCCACTGGTCTGGAAATTTCTTTCTCGCCCGAACGACAAAGTCGCAATAGTCGTTGACGAAGCGCTCGCCGTCCGACTTGGTCATAATGTACGGAGGGCCGGCGCGGCCATAGAACTCGAGCCCGTCGGCCTCGCTCACGCTGGCGCAGGGCAGTCCGGCGCAGAACTCTGCTTGTGTGCCATGCAGCGCGTCACGGAACCAAGCCGCGCCCATGTAGTTGCCCCAGTCGTGCGCGATCGCGACGCCGTCGCGCACAGTGTCGTAGACGGGACCTGTACGCTGGCCCACATAGTGCGCCGAGAGATCAGCGCCCGTGTTGACGTGCAGCGGCGCGAGCAAGACAAAGTCGGCGTCAAACAGTGCGAACGGCAAGTCGCCGCGAAGGCTCGCAGGCGATCGCGCGTGCTGGAAATAGTGGCGCAGGCCAAATGGCTTGTTGTATGGCGAGTAGTCGTCCGTGACGTTGGGCACCGGGTGCGGACTGAACGAGGGCGCAAAGTGCCGGTGGTAGTCGTAGTACAACACCGGCTCGTGCTTGATCGCCGTCTCTTGCGCCGGCGAGCAACCTGAGATGATCTCTGTCATCGGGCCGCGATGGTGCACGCGCGTCGCCGAGTGCTGGAACGTGCTCGAGAGGAGCCGGCGATGGCCTTGGTCGCAGCTCGTGCTGAAGAGAATGTGCACGCTGCCGCTGCGGGGCGCCGAATGCAGGTACGCGGCCGGCGCATGGACCACAACCGACGACTCGTACGTGAGCGCGAGAAAGGTCGACGCGAGGACGAAGCACGCGGTGGCCGCGGCCCAGACCGGCGGCCGGCGCGCTGCGATTGCCATGCTTTTGCGTTTGTATAGGGTCGTCGTATCCGGAAGTAGTAACCGGAAATAGTACCGAATACAAAATGGCCGCTTGACGATCTTCTGTCCCGAACGGTCATCGTCTATGGCGCAGATTGGCATCCGTAGCAAGGACAACTCTTCGCGCCAAATCACCCCGCACGTGCAAGCTGCCCGAGCGCGCTACTTGCGCACGTGGACGCGCGCATATTGGTAGCGCTAGGAGGGCTTGCAACTACGAAAGCATTCCTTTGGTAACGTAATTTGTCGCTACATCGAGACTCGTCGAGTCGTTCACAGTGTCGTGAGCATAAAGCGTAGGGTGCACGACGCTGCAGTTTTCATCTGCCTGCATAATAACAAACAAGAATAACTCGCACCGTTTGACCTGCTTGAGTCCTCCATCCAGTGCTGCATCCAGTGTGTATTTTAGCCAAAAGATCGACGACTAGATTACTAAACAATGTACAAGTGCTATACTTAGTCTATTCAAGCAAAGTCACTCTTGGGTGGACCGCTGGGGGTATGCGGTCCCGTCGCCCGTCATGTTGGTAAGAATGAGACCGCGAAAGGTGTTGAAGCCGCGTCGACACGTGCGCGTCTTGATTTGAAGCAGCGCGTAGTTGATCCACTTGAGCAGGCTGCAGGCGACCCAGTTCTCATGGCGGGCGACACGGTCGTGCGCTGGCGTCGTCGTCGCTGGCGTCGTCGTCGCTGGCAGCGCGAGGAACATGCTGTTGCACTCGACAATGTCTTCGGGCACATCGTACTTATAAAACGCTGGCTGAGGGCCATACACTTGGCAATAGTGCAGCCCCGTCGGCGGCGCCTTTGGCCATGCAATCTCGATCGGGTCGATGCATGGATCTTCCTCTGAATCGCTTAGAAAGGCCCAGTGCTCGGACGTTAGCGGCAGGTGCGGGTCGGTCACGCCAAGGTCCTGGCGCTTCTCGTGGTGCACATTTGCGTTGGCGACTGCGACTTCATAAGCTACCATCTCGAGCATCCAGTCGTGCTTCTCCAGTGCCCGGCCACGCACCACCAGCTCGCAATAGTCGTCGACGAAGCGCAAGCCATCAGAGAGTGTAAAGAGGTAGGGCGGGCCAAGGCCCACGAACGGGGGCTGCTGCACCGTTTGCTTGCACGCCTGGCTGCGACAGAGGCGTTGCCGGAGCGCCGTGCGTGGCGCATCGTCCAAGTAGACGCTCCAGTCCTGCGCAAGAGCGTGGCCGTCGACGACCTTGTGCACGTCGCTCCATGGACGCAGCAACACATAGTCGGCGTCGACGAGCGCAATGACTGTGGCAATGGTTGGCGGCAGCGTCTGTAGAAAGGCTCGCAGCGCGAACGGCTTGTTGTAAGGGTCGTACTCGTCGGTGACATCGGGTTGTGGGTGGGGCGAGAACGCGCGGGTAAAGACGCGGGTGTAGTGGGCAAAGAAGGTCGGCTCGGCCTCGATGGCCGCTTGCTGCGCCAGCGAGCACCCGGCAATGGCCTCGGAGAGCGCACCGTCGTGGCCAACGCGAGCTGCCGACAGCTGCAGCGACGACGAGAGCAAGAAGCGGTGCGGCTGCAAGCAGCTCGTGCTGAAGACCATGTGCACGCCGCCGCGGCCGACGCCACCGACATCGCTGATGACCATCGCTCTGATTGTGACCAACGTCCTCGGAAATGGTGCACGTCCACGACAGCCGTTCGAGTAGACTCCATACCGACTAACTAAATCACGCTGGACTTTGTCCCAAGAACTGTGGGAAGAACGGTGGCCAAGGCCCGGCGCGCCAGACGAGCGCCAGTGCCGCGGGTACTCGGCGCTTGCGCTATCACAGCGGCCAATATTTGAACGAGTGGACACGAGCTGCGTCGGTCGTGTCCTCGAAAAATGTGGTGCCGGGCGCTGCCGCGTTACCGCACGCTGCAAACGCAAAACGAGCGCTGGATCCTGCGTACGGCGACCAATCGAGATCGCACCATCCAAGGCGATACACTAATCGAACGGTGTCGATCTTTGGCCGACAAAATTCCATCTTGCGACTCACGCGCGATTACCACCATCGAGAGCCAAGTGGCAGCGCCATGGCCCTACCCCTTGACGTTGCACGAGCCGTCTTTGCACAACGTTCATCAAGCGAGCAAGAGGGGTTTATCTATCCATGGTAGTACTTACATACATCTAGCGTAGTTGATCAGAGGTGGTGTGGTTATTGCAAGGACCGGCTCACTACGTTGGTGCCATCGCTCGCCACAAGTCTTCGCGGAGCCCGTTTCAGCTCCATTATCCTTGGCCGGTGCTTTTCTGAAGCAATTCGCACCCTCACGCAGCGCTGGATGGAGTAGTACCTCTTTGTAAACGATCCTGGATATGTACCGTTCTCGAATGCAAAGCCAGTCCAAAGTCCTAGGAGACAGAGCCGAATGCGGCCTCGTGGTCGTGACGAAATCGATGGGTGGGCATTTTCTGATGGGACAAACCGTTTTGCCTTGATTAGTCGGTCGTTTAGTTGATGGAGCAACAGCCAATCACGTTGCGTGCGCGCTGAAAATTTCGCGCCCAAAAATGCCCAGTCTCCAGCGCGTGCTGACGTTTTATTTCGTTTTCGATGATATGCATACAAATATAAAGGTAACAAAAAACAATGTGATTTTAAATGTGTAGCTTTATATCCAGAAACACGATGATTCGGCGCCGTGTCGCAGGTCCCAGCTGGCCACGTCGGTATACAAACACCAAGTCTAATCTTATTACATCGTGGCCGTCATTTCTTCTTTCCAACCAATCAAATCGCACCATGCGAGCATCGGAATTGGAACCTTCCACAATACATACCCTGCAGCATATAATATTCAATATTGTGAATTTGCGTGGTGGCTTTCCCTGTGACAATACATATATTGACACACGTTATAACGCCCCGTTCCAACCTCTGTCCCACTGCAGCACAGCATTCCGCTGTTTCACTTGGTGGTTCAATATTGCTTGCGCCGAGCGAGGATGACGACGAGCTTGATGTACACGTCGGCGACGAAGCAAAGCCGCTTCATCCACCTCGAATGCAACGAGCCGCTCTTCCAGACGTCGTACAAGCGGTATGCTGAGGCTACATGCATGCGCGGAAGCTCATGCAAACTTACGCTCTAGGAACAACAAGAGCTCGGGGCACAAGAACCTGCGCTGCTTCCCGCACTGCTGCAAGACACACAACGCCCATGGCTACTGCGGCAGCACGCTGCTCGTCGAGACAGCCAGCACGCAGGCCGACCTCGTTGTCTATGCCAAGTTTGATCTCGAAGCGTCGCAGTCACTTCTCGTCGGCGACGTGGTGCCGCAAGCGACGTTTGAAGCGCCGCCGTCGCCGCCACTGATAGGCGACACGTGGATCCAGGCCAAGCGGATAGACAACCCGTCGTTTGATGGGTACATTCCCGGTCGCCAGATCTTTGAGATCAACTCGAAGCGCAACTCGTGGCACTATGGCTGGGTCAGCTCTCGCTTTGTCAAGAGCAACGTCCAGCATCAGATGAAGGTCTTCCTCCTCGCGCCGCACTCGATGGGCCATCTCGTTGTTGTCGACGTGCTCTCATCGCTGAGCTTCCGCATCGAGTCGACGCGGACCGGCGCCAAGCAGCTCAAGGCGCTCAACCCGGACGCGGCCGCAAAGAAGACCAAGCCCAAGCGACCACCGACACCCGAAATTGTCCGGCCAAGCAACAACGAGGCGCTCAAGGCGTCGCCGACGTATGCACCGCCCATGTCCATGAAGGACGAAGCGTACTTGAACCCGATGCTGATGCACCGACGACCGCACCATCCGCCGACTTATATGGAGCCGCCGCCACGCTACATGGCCGAACCGTGGAAGCCCGCGTTGGAGCTGCCAGCGTCGTACGGCTATCGGCCTGCGCCGTTCCAGATGCTTGCGACTGACAGCCTCTTTAGCGACCGGGACTTTCTCGATACGATCATTAGCGACATGCAGCAAGACGACATGACCCCTCGCGGTGGCCCGTCCACCGTCGTGCACCTTGCACGGCGGTATTAGGGCCTTCCACTAGTTAGTACGCTACGACATTAGATTTAGTCAATCGATGTACACTATGATGTTTTCACGGCTCGAACGCCTCCTTGCATTTCCTGGACAAAATGGAATGAGGCTCGTGGTGCTCGTGTTGGACTATACCGGAGGCTGCGGGGCGACATGACGTAGCCTTCGGAATCGAAAAACTCGTCGTCGTCGTCATCGCTCAAGCTGTTGCGCTTGGGCGCGTCGGCATCGGCCTCGTCGGGGAGCACGCCATGATGCTCCTCTTCCTCGGCCTCGTCCTGCAGCGTCGGGACGCTCGTCCACGATTGGTCGGCGCGCGACCGCTTGCGGTAGACGAGCCGGTACGCAATGCCGAGCACGATGACCGCGCACGCGACACCGACAAAGACAAACAACGTGCTTGAAAAGTCGATCGCAAACGGCGCTGACGCTGCGTGCGTCGACGCGCCCTTGAGCTGCGGCGCCACCGGTGGCTTGGTGGGCACCAACACATCCAGCGTCGCATTCATTGACGAGTTGGTGGGGTGTGGCAGTACGGGCAGAGCCGTGGCATTCGTCGTCACGTCAAACTTGGTTTCGAGCTCCAGCCCGCGATAGTCTAGTGCATACGTATATCATATCTCCCCACAAGCATTCAAAGACGGACCGCAATTGGCCGGCGCAAAGCCGACGCGCTGTGCGTCCAAGTCGAACACAAACTCGTGGCCAATCATCATGTTGGCGCCAATGACTAAGAGACATAGGATGAGATCCTTTGCGCGCTGGAAAAAAAGAGGGTACCGCCGCCGTTGGCTTCCGTGAAGAAGATGGTGCTGCAGAGCTGGCCTTGGTTGTTGGCGACTATGTACTGCGACGCCGGAATGCGCAAGATGGCCGAGCTGGTGCCATCGATCCCTACCATAAAAAGTTTCAATTTATCAAGTTGGATGACGCACTAACCGCGCAGTGAAATTTCAAACGGCGGGAACGACGCGACGTCGTCGGCAGCATACCCCTTGCAGCTGCCGTCGTCTGTCATGTACGCTTGTCCGGTCGCAGCTTCAAAGGCTGCATTCCATATCGATGCGTAATTGGTTGGGAAATACGAGTCGGTCGTGCCACTGTCGACAATGACCCGGTGGCGGCCCGAGTTCATGGACGAAATGTCAACGTCGAGGGGCTTGTTGCCGAGGCGAAGCGACTCGACGTGGACTGCATACCACCTACGAACGCACGACTTCATATGCAAAGTTGCGTGCACAAAGCGCACCCGTTGTTGGCCGTCGACACCATGGCGTACTGCAGCGGCTCGCGCTGGTGCGCCGTCTCGACGCTCCCTAGCGCCATCGTGCCGCCATTCGGTGTCAAGCAGAGCGAAAAGACGTTGGCTGGGATCTTCTTTTCTTGGTAGAGCTTCCGGACAATGTTGGTGCTGGCTAGAATGGTCGATTCATGAGTCCTCTTGAAGCGCATCCCCATCGCACCTGTGTCCGAGACGCCCATGATGCCATCGGCCACCTGGTTGACAAACAGCCCTACCGAGATAGCCGTTGCATGGCGGAAGCCGAGGTAGAAGAGCGTACCCGTGACCTTCTTCTGGCATCCAAACATGAAGCGTGTGCCAAACGACGTGTTGAGCGCGTCGTTGTGCGTCGGCGCCGTGTCACCGAGCCAGACGTGGTCTTCGACGATGACAGCGTCCCAGCTACTGCCCTCCGTGTACGACTAGATACAGCGGACGATGCGACGGTGCGGCGCGATGAGGATCGTGTACCTGCGAGATGTGGCATTGGTTTTCCCGAGAGCACGCCGAGCAGCTGAACGGTGGCCGCGCCGTGCACTGCGGGTACTGCAGCGTCGACGACTTGGCAATGTCGAACGGCGTGTCCGTGTGTTGTCCGCACCCGTGGCACCTATGGCCGATGCGTCATGGATCCATTGCTACAGCAAACATGGAGGCGTCGTACCCGCTGCAAGGGAAGGCCGTGATGTGGCTGCCCGTGTCGATGATGACGGAGGCGCGCTGCGGCGGATTGCCAGCATAGATCCAGGCGTAGTGCGTCCTACATCAGGCGCTAAGCACGTGCGGGCCATGGCTGAGTCACCTACCCCATGCCCAGGTTGAGAGGCACGCCTTGGTACGTGCCATCGTCGAGACGGCGAAGCTGACGCAGCGAGTCCCGGTCGCGCTTGACGGGCAGCATGTCGTCGTGGCGGTGCAGCTCCATCTTGAGCGCCCACGTCGTAGACGCCAGCGTAGCGAGCAGAAGCATCGTCCTCATCGACTCCACCTTTGACGGTATGACGTGGACTTTGAGCTTCGAAACCATGCTGTCCGGATACCGTCAACCCGCTCGACGGCTAGAATCACCCAACACGAACAGAGACAGACACGGCCTGTCCAAGGTGTCGAGTGTCGAGCTTCGAGTCAATACACCCAAGCTACAAGTCTGCCGTCATAGCCACCGAGTCCCTGAGGTATCCTTCCCAGGCTCCTTTCTGCAAGGGACCATGATGGAGAATATATTTATACCGTCGGGTTGTGTAGACGGATTTGCATGGCGCGATACTAGGGCCGAACACGTGCGGCGGCAGCCATCACGAGTGTTGCCAGTAGTACCGAGTCGACGAGTGCGTCGGAATGCATTGCCAAGAGCTGTTGCCAAGGAGTGAGGCTTGCCACGCATCCTAGAGCGGCGTGATTTTAGACGCACACATGATGGGTGCGTCCGCGCCTGGCTGCCTCTCGCATCTACGATACCACAAAGGCATCCATTGCGGACTTTACACGTCCAACGCCAACGAGACGCAGATTTCAGAGCCAATGCCTGCTTCCTCGCTGCTAGATGAGCCTGGGAAAAGGCACTACGAGTACGCAGTAACAGTACTATCGAGCTTGCGAAGGGCCACGTCGCTAGGATCGGGCTCCCCAACACACCTCGTGAGGATTCTTGCTCACCTACGGTCGCTTGTGCACAAAATCCCTGCGTTTGGGCATCTTCGCGCCAAAACGAGGCGACTTCAACTTGAAAAAGTATCTTTTTGCGTGTTTTTAAATTTCGAAAACGCTGTCTTTTGGGCGATTATTCGCGTCGATGTACGGCTGGAGCATGGTCTCGAGGGCTTGCTTGATCGCATCAAAGTGGGCTTGGTAGCACGACAGCATAAACTCGGCGAGCGCCACGTAGTGCGGGAGGAGCTGCTTGTCGGTGGACGTTGCCTTGGTCGACTCAAACAGCGTCGGGTGCCGCGCCTTCTCGGCGCAGGGCACGGCGCCCCGACTGCAAAATTTCACGCGGGCCGTATTCTCGTCCATCTTTTCAATTGCGAGCCTAAACGTTGATCTCAATCTCAACCTGAATCTCAATGCCAATCGCAACACTTACCATGTGCTTTCGTGCAGGATGTAGGCGTCGTTGTGGTACGGGTATTTCTCGTCTTCGGCGATCGTGCTCGAGCAAATCACGATGCGATTCGACTCGATAAAGCGCTTTTGGACAATCAAGCACTGGACTTCGGTGCCCCGGGTCGTCATGACCAGACGCCCATACGACGTGTCAGCATCCCAGTCTTCCAGCATCTAGAAAGTGAGTGGGTTAGATGTGGTGCTGGTCGATCAAGGTGGCTACCGTAAAGTACGTGTCCTTGACTTCAATCGGCACTAGATTATTGTAGAGCTGCCAGATGGCCTCGCCACAGCGCTCGTAGCCCACATTGTGCGTCTCGCACATCGTGCAGTCCATGCGTATCGTGCCCACCGTCTCGTCGTACGCAATCGACGTGTTCTGGACCATCTCGGTCGTCTCATGGAGCTTGCGCGTGAGGAAGATGCTTTCAAGTCGTGCATAGTCGGCTTGCACAATGGCATTGGCGGTCGCCCGCCGTTCGCCCGCAGGTTCGACGACGAGCCGGTGGATCTTGGTGTCGGCGACGTGCGGCATCTCCATGAGGCGTGGCCGCTTGGTCACGATCTCAAGGAGCGTCTGCGCAATGTCGCGCTGGTGCTCGAGCGCTTGCTTGAGCTTCGCATTCTCCTGCTCGACAACATAACGCTCGGACGCTTGGCGCCGCGACACGGTTTCCCACGGCGACGCCTCCTCGGCCGCGCGGTCCTTTCGTCGCTGCAGCGCCTCGAGCTGGGACGTGTAGTCGACGACCTTGTCGCGCAGGTAGGCGAGCTCGTGCGACTCGCGCTTCCGCGTGCGCTTGGGCTTGGCCTTGGCCTTGGCTGCGGGCGACGGCGAGCTGCTGTCGCTCGAGCCCGTCATCGCCGGCGCGGGCGTCGTCGGCACGGTCATGAGCATCATGTTGCGGAGCATCTCGAGCGACGCGTCGTCGACGTCGTCGTGGAGGAGCCGCTCAAGCTGCGCAGGGTCCATCGTCGTCGTCAAGAAAGGGCAAAGAATGGACTGGCCGATGGTGATGACTAACCACACCCAACGATAGTGATGGTCGATGGCAGAGTGTGGCTCTTTTTGCACGGCGGGCGCTGGCGTTGGCCATGCCTATGCAGTTGGCGGCGCGTTGCGGCCACATCAGTGCGTACAGTCGCGACAGACGAGGAGCCCTGATGTAGATTTGCATGGCCGCGGCGAACGCGCGCGGGAGAGACGAAAGTTGCGTGCGTCTAGCGTTGGCCCTTCAACGCTTGCACGCTGGATCTCCAGTGAAGCCTCGGTCGTACCACGGCCAGCGACAGCTCGGAAAAAGCTGACGGACGGCGGTGCATGCCTTCTTGCACGGAATGACGAGCGACATCGCAGTGTCCTTAACAACGTAGAGTAATCCTGGAGCATGGATCCAGGAGCTTCATGACAACTACCTCGCTCTCATTTGAGGACACCTCTCATTTGCTACTTCGAGGCTGGTACTTGGTGCAGCGTGAACTCGGAGTCTCGATGGCACACGTAAGCACTGACGTATACACGGCATTCCACGTCATGTAGAACAGTGTGCCGATGCGTGTCACGTAGCAAAGGCGTTTCCTACTATTTCTGCCATCGGTTCACGTCAGAAAGTGCAATCTGGCAGCGGTTACCGATTTGCTGCCTGTTTTGCGAGGTGTATCATGCCGTCGTTCAACAGTGCTGTCCGACCGGCAGCGGGGCCACTGCCTCTGCACACTTCTCCGGCCTTGGCTCAGCGGTTCCGGTGGTCCGAGCCTCTTGTTGGCTACGTCTTCATCGCGCTCTCGATAGCGAGTGGCGTCTATTACCTCTCGCTGCTAACGCCGTATTTAACCAACGATATGTACTGGGCGGCGTACAACCTCAGCGGACACGAAGCGTACCTCGTGGACGCTGCCAACACCGCGCTCCTGACGATGCGCTCGGGCTACTGGGATCTCTTGGCACCGCGCGCGATGCAGCGCAAGAGCTATATCGCGCCCGTCTCGTTCACGTCGATCGCGCCCACGTACGTTCGGCGCCTCATCTACTCGGAGCTCACGTCGGTACCCCACGCAATTGCCAACCTGCGGAGCATGCGGCCCGAGTGGGTCTTCCGCATGAGCACGCAGTTTTGCTATGTTGATTTCAACCAAACGTTCGAAGTCGCGCACACGTTAGCGCGTCAGGCGCGCTGTCGCCGTTTGTATGCCTCGAACGGGGCCGTGTACTACGAATCCATTCTGCGCAACGTCCGCTGGGACGCTTTTCTGAGCGTCTGGGGGGGCGCCACGGGCTATTTCACTGTAACACTCGAGGCAACGCTGCAGTTGTCGGCCGCAGGTCGCCACTGGCTCACGACAACATCGACCAACACGCTCTCGATGACGGACGAAGTTGCGTTCTGGGCGTCGTATAACCTCACGTCCTTTGAGCTCGCGTGGCAAAACCGGTGGCAGGCGAGTATCGCTGAGACCATCAACGTCCGAAGTGCGCTCGGGACGGAACATACCGTCACACCCAAACACTGGCCGCGTGAGAACGGACCGTGGTCGTCCTGGATCTACATGTGGATACCGCTGGACGACGTCTATGTCCTGCAGCAAGTCGGGGCGAGTGCGATCCGCGGCGCCACCAACTTTTACGACCCCAAGTACTTTGCGTTTGAATCGCACGCCGCACTGGCGTCTGCAAATGGCACCTACGACGGTCGTGCCGGCGTCGTGCATGCGACCCTCGGACCGTTCTTGTCGTTTGATACTTTCTATATACCTGTGCCGGCACCGCTGCTTGCGTTTTTTAATGCACTGGATACGCATCTGGCGCAGCAGCCACCCGGTGTTCTGTCCTTGGCGACCGCCGGGGCGTTTACCCCCCGCCCCCCCGCGTGGCGCAACCAATCGCGCTTGTATGGGGGCAGCCTCCTCTGCCTCCACAACACAGAGACAAGCTACGTCCAGGCGCCCTTTGACTTTGACGATCCGTGTCTCGTTCCAACGGTCTTTCGTGTCGCGTACGATGCTCCGATGCTCGTGTTTGCACAGCTGCTCTATGGTGTGCCGTTGGGCTCGGATGCGCCGGGTATCTGTCGCCTCCAGTCATCGAGCGCTTGCTTGTCTGCGCTCAACAAGTCGTCGGCGAGCGTAATTGCGCTGTCGCCACTGCCCCAAGCCCTCGTCCGCACCATACCAGACGTGATCGCGGCCGTCAAAGCGCTCGACCTGCGCCTCATTCAGTTTACGAACCCCCCCGAGTGGACGTTGCTAGAGCAACGGCTTCTAGATGACACACCATGGTCGGTCTATGGCTGGCTGTGCATATACGACTGGGTCATTGGTCGCCGCGAAGTCGTCTCGTTTCAAGGCGATATAAGGACCTTGCAGCTCATCTCCAACCGGTACATCCCCCGCGTCATGGCCACAAGCGGCGACGGACAGTACCTTGAGGCGACGACACAACTGGCGCTTTACCTCTCGGCCTACGTCAGCATCGCACTCGCTAGCGTCGGGCTGCTCACGTTTCTCTACGGCGCAACGATGCAATTTGATATCGTAGGGCGGAACCTCGCCTATTTCAACGCGGTCGCCGGCGCGAGTTGGGTGGGCCGACCATTACTCTTTGCCCGCGGATCAACGGCCATTCTCGTACTCAGCACGTCGCCCATGGAGCTGCTCGCGAACAGTACAACGTCCTCACACCTCGTCTTGGTGCCGCGCCCGCTTTTTACCCGCCTTGTACTCTGCACTGAGGCGGCGTGGGTCGCTACGATGCTCAACGACATTTGTCTCTTGTTGGTCCCGGTCCTGGCCTCTATATACGCGCCCGTCGCCTCGCTACTGGCGTTCATAGCCACGTTTGCACTCGAGAGCGCGGCGCCAGTCGCGATCGCTGCCTCCTTAAACCGCACGTGTCGCAGCCATGACATGGACTACGCCATCGAGTGTACGTCGGGCACCATTGCCATTGGCGATGCGTCTCGAATGTATCATCTCTACGGCGTCCAGGTCCTCTCCGTTCTGATGGCGCTAGCTTTGGCCTACGCGTTCCATCGCCAAAAATACACCTCGGCGCGTCGTGCGCTCTCGTCGTGCCACGTCATCGCATCCGGCGCCGCGTCCGCCTTTCTGGACCCAATTCCGACATTGCACTTGGACACGTGGCGCGTCGACGACGCGTCGAGCGTCATGTGTGGTCTCGTGCCGCTGTGGTGTCGAGGCCAACGCTATACGTTTGATCTAAAACTGTGGACGGTATTGTCGTCGAACGAGACGACTGAGAAGGCGGCGCTCGACAAGCGCCCGAACGCTGGGTTGCCGTACTTGATTTTATCGCCGATGCGCGTTGGCTTGGACCGCCTCTCGATGCTTTTTGGGCTATTGTACATGTGCTTCTCCATTGCTGGCAGCATCTCGTACCTCGCTGTCTCCAAAGTCACGTTGGCCAACGACATGCTCTGGGCCGGCTTTAACCTCTCGGGGTCCCATGCGTTTTTGGCTACCTGGCTCAATGATCAATTTCTACTTCAAAACACGCATACCAACCTCGCTCTGGACGCGCCGCATGTCAACTGGAACGGGCAATTCACCAGAGACCCAGCGTTCCTTCCAGTGTCGCCCGTGGCAGGCGCCATGACCCAGCAACGTATGCGCACGTCGCTCGTCACCATTGTGCATGGCATCCGCGGGCTCGACGGCTGTGAAGCGCCGTGGGTCTTTGTGCCCTACTGCTTTCTCGATCTCCAACGGCATTGGACCATGGCGATCTCGGACGCGCGGCAAGCGCGCTGCGACACAATGCGCACCAACGGCGCAGTCTACTTGGAGCCGCTGCTTCGAAACGTGCCGCTGACGAGCTGGGCAATGTGCTGGAGCGAGGCGTTCGAGCTGACGATCGGGCGCACGCTGCGCAGCTCGATCCTCGGACACAGCTGGCTCGCGACGACGCTCGAGGCGCGCAGCAATCTCTCGGCGCCCCACGAAGCTGCATACTGGGTCGCCCACGGCATTCGACTTTTTGAGACCCAGTGGCAAAACTACAAGCGCATCGGGCTTCTCAACAGCTACGTTATCACAAATGCATTTGGCGTCGCTTACCCGTATACGCTCCAGTCCATCAACGGCACGTACGGCCGCAACTCGGCGACGACCCTCAAAATGTACTGGAGCTTTGCCAACGACCTTCTGTATGCAATGGGTGTCAACGCCACGTCCTCGAACGGCACGAGTTTACTCCGATCGAGCGCTTCGTTTCTGTATACCAACACTTCGTTGGAGACGACGCTAATCCAAGAAGGCGTCCTCGCGTGGCCTCTTGACAATGGCTTGAGCCTTGTCCGGCAGCGCCTCGGGCCCTTTGGCACCATTGACATGCACTTGGTGGCGTGTCCGAGAAGCCTCCTCGACACCATTCGCAGCATCTCGGTCAGTGTACGCGACGCGCTCCGGCGTCAGCAGTTCGTGCAAGACCTCTACTTCAACATGACGATTGTCGACGCAATGCACGCAGTACCGCAGCCCTGGCTTGACGCAAAGCTCATGCAGTTTGGTGCCTCAATCTTATGCCCCGCGTACCCATCGATGACCAACCAACCAGTCCACGGCGGCACACTCATGGCGTTCACTCTGGACGGGAGCGAGTGCCCGACGGACATCACGTCCAAGCTGTACCCGTCAGCAGACATGCTCTTGGCAGCCGCCGTGCTCGCCAACCTCTCGGTGACAACGCCGCACAAGACCCTCGTAGAAATCTGCGACCACGACAGGATCAATGGCGCAGCCTGTTTGCAGTACCTCCCCCAAACCGTACGGGTATTGGACGCCATACCCCCTATGGTGCTCCCGAACCTCAGTCGAGCAATCGACGATACGTGGCAGCTCGGCGTGGGCATGGTCACTTATGCACGAAGACCACCATCAGCGACGCTGACGCTCGAACACGCGCATCTCTTGAGCGAGGACGACCCCTCGTACGCGTTTTTCGGCTGGTGTTCGCTCTTTGACTGGGCGATCGGGCATCGGCAAGTAGTTCGATTTCAAGGGGACAATGGCACCCTCACGCTCCTCTCCGAGTACATTGAGCCGGTGGCGCAGGCGACCTTGAGCTGGCAACTGCCCCAAAGCGCTGCGCGGTACGCCTCGATCGGCACAACGTACGTCACGTACTGTCTCTTGGTGCTCGCCGCCACCACCGCGGGGTACATTCTTCTGAGCTGTGGCCACGTCGAAGGCTGGAACATGGCCACGCTCAACTCGGTCGGCGGCATGGTCTGGGTGGGCCGCCCGCTCTTGCTATTGCGCAGTATGACCGCGATGGGCCTCCTCTCGACAAGTGCGCTGGACTTGGCCTTTGACGGGCGCATCTCTGGCTTTATTGCATTGCAAAACCCATGGTATACCACTTGCCTCGCCGCGAGCGAAGTCACTTGGTTCGTCGCTGTCGTCAACGACGTGGCTATGGCGTTGACTCAAGCGTACACGATCTCTTACGCGACGCTCAATTTGGCGATCGTGTGGCTCGTCGCCGCCGTCCTCAGCATCCAGCACCCCGTCCAACACTCGGCTTCGCTCCTTCCCACGTGCACGATTGAGCAAATCGACTGGCAGCTCGTGTGCGAAAGCGCTTCGATTCAAATCGGACGCCCCACGCGGCTGGTCACGCTTGTCGGCACGGTCTTCACCTGCAATTGTCTCTGCTACCTCGTGACGCGACTAATGTTTTGCTGTCGCCGCGCGGCAACTCCGACGTGTGCAACCCACTCGCTCCTCTTGTACGCAGGCGCCAAGTACCTCTACACGACCGACCGGTGGCTCTACAACGGCGTCTACTACCTTGACCGCGCCTCGGCCGTGCTCAACGGGATCCTCACGCTGCGCTGGCGGGGTGTTGTGTACGCTTGTGACATCAAGATGTGGCGCATCGTCACGGT